TTCGCCGGTTACCGGGGCGCCCAGCCGCCGGGGAATTTTTTTCGCGACTTCGACTTCTTCAGCTCGGTGGGGAAAGCTTTTATCTTCAAATTGAGAGCTCGCGCGAGTGGATGCGATTTTTTTCAGAGGAGATACGCATTTTTGATGTTCGATCTCGTGTTTGGCGTTTTTTGGCATTTCTAGACGTTTCTTGGCGTTTTTAAGCGTTTTTCGGTACTTAGGAGTGATTGCACTCAAACAGATTCGCTGCATGGGAGTTCCGTACATGACACCGACGCGATCCCCAAAGCTCCGCATAACGTCGACTTCGGCAACAATGTACTTTAGTTTTTTTTCATCTTTTTTCATCTTTCTTCGGCTGGTGCGATCCACATCGTTTATGACTCACGTGCTCGGTGTTTAACGATGTTATTGAAATTTCTTTAATTACCATTGTTGTACCGCGAGTCGGAATATTTCAGGACAAATGTTTTGCACTAAAGTTACTAATCTACGGGACAAATACTTGAACCAGAGATTTTTAACTTCTGAGCTCATTCTCAAAATGATGATTATAATTAAAGTTTTTGCAATGAATGAGATAACGGTAGCAACATGGGTAACTAAATAATAATACTAACGATAAGAAAGATTGATACTGTTATGTTACGGTACGATTTTAATTAATTTCACATAAATTATTAAAATCACCTTACGGACAATGAAACAAATAATAAAAAGCTGAACCCATAATCAAATATTACATAACTGCAATGTATTTTGTGCGCATTGCTATAAACTGTAAAACGTGAGGAAAGAAATTTGCGTGAAAAACCGTACCCATCCTTCCCTTCCTTCAGAATTTGAACTTGCAACACGTACGTTACACCTGACGTCACACCGACTACGTGAAGCTGTGCGTTGGGTATCTCCTTCTATGTAGTTTTATGTGTTCCCTAGGAAACATTCATTATTTTTTTATTAATTTCCGTGGCTTATAAAAATTGTATATAAAGTATAACTGAACTCTCGAGCACCCACGTTGTAGTTTTGCCTGTATTTACCTGTATGTAATAACATTTGCGAATAAAATAAATAAGGTATGTGAAGGGTAAAGTCAAAGAGGGCGCCACGAGTGATTTTCCCTTACCAAAAAAGAATAGCCTTGGAGTTTATTTCGTATTTTTGACGAGCGCGCTCACTTCCTGCAGTTCCATGTCACGTGGGTTTATTCGCCGAATTACGTACTTACTATATGAAAGAACGAGATCACTAGCACTTCCAGTCTAGTAATATTGCCAAATAAAGGTACATACCTTGTAAATAAAAAATCATTGAGAGGTAGTGTGTTATAGGCAGGAAAGGCGGAAAGATGGAAAGCCGTTGAAAGTAAAGAAGAGGGCTCGAGTCTATCTATATTTTTTAAATATGTATTACATTCATATTTATATGTACTACAATTAGAAGTTCACGCCGTTCCTGGCGAGGGTGCTAAACTTCCTCGACAACTGGCGGCCAAACCCAAGAACGGTTTCAAACGGTTTATTACATTTGGCTAATAAGAATAATACAAGAAAAATATTTCTTTTACATGATAAGTCTTTCAAACTATCAGGAAACTCAGAAGAGTTTCGCGCCAAATATACGCTTACATACGTTGTATACGTATCATCTCTGATACGTATATGCGAAGCAGTGGGCATGCGTGAAATGCCACAAAGTTCTTAACGCCAAGTTTGGGCTTTTTAAGATGATATGAAAGGCGCTGAGAAATTTAATGGACGTCGAGAAAGCAAAATGCATCTATACCCATTTTGGTGGTCATGTCGTTTTGAATACTCAAGTGGTAACATAAACTGGTGCGTCCTGTTACCGACATTTATATTTATATCGAAGTCTTTTACAGTCTACGTTGAGAATTATACGAAATAAAGCATGCCATTTCGGTAAGGTAATGATAAAGAGATCGATGTAAAATCGTCCTAATCCCGTGAATTCATTATTCTAACAACTGTCTCGGACCAACGTCGCCATCTGTGACGTTTAGCTGCAACTACATTTTTGCTCTAAAACATGTGTTAGCCCCGACACAAGCCAGAATTCTCTTGCAACCGTTGGTGAAAGTATTTTCCATATTTTCCCATCTGACTCTGTAATATTTCATTTCTACGGTACTCTAAATTGTTCGTGTTAGGTCCTGAAACTCTTCATTTTCAATTTTAAGCCCCCAAGAAGCATAAAACATCGGAAACGTGCCCGGACCACGCCATGTTGATTCCAATCCATGACAAATAAATGAATTTTTTTTGAAAAATGAAATTTCATGAGTTTCAGGATCTATTTAGGGCCTTCATGTTCACGTGGTAAGATTTGAAACGAATCGGTATCCCTAATTCGGAGAATACTTTCCCCAACGATTTGACCACTCAGCATATATAGGCTGACTCTTTCAGATGACCTTAACCCTTTGAGCGCTAAGCACTTTCGACATACGGGCGAATTTCCTTAGACCGTGCGCGCGATATTGGGCCAAACGTCGGACGCACATATGCGTCGACAGCGCTCAAAGGGTTAAACCCGTAAGATACATCTATACACGCACAAGTACATACTGCATATCAAATTCTTAATTAAATAGTATTAAATTACATCAATTAGGGCGGCGACATTATTTTTGCACCTGGACAGTTAATAAGCTTGAAACGGTCCTGGATCCAGAAATGTTTCAGAAACATATATATCGTAACATTAATGTTCACGTGATTATTCTGATAATCTCTTATAAAAATGTATTTAATTCTATTCATGATTTTCATGGAGATTAATGTCCAATTACAGATATTCTTACTTAGCCTTATACCACTGTAATCCAAAAAGTGATTCAAACCATTTTCTATCGTATATTCCATCGTTCAAATTCTGTTTAATAACATATTTTATTCCCGGAGTTTCAGTGGTATAATGTTCTCTAGAAACGTCAAAAGTTATATGTCGTTCGCGTTTTGGAAATGGTTGCTTTACGAATAAATCTGCTAAATCCAAGAAAAATAGTATAGATTCATCGAAAGACATTTCGTTCTTAGTTGCTAAAGCGTTTAATACGGTTTTATACTGTCCGTATATTTCGGGATGTTCAAAATCAATAAAAATGTCATATTCCGGAAAACGAGTATGCTCATTAACCGAAGTTCCATTTTTCTCAATGTCAATTATCACACTATGACAATAATCGTAATCCCGCCTTGAACCTGCCTTATTTATCATGGACTAAAACCAACATGGCATAGTCCGAGCACGTTTTCGATGTTTTACGCTTTTTGGAGACTTAGAATCGCAAGTGAAGAATTTCAGGACCTAACTCGAACAATTTAGAATACCGTAGAAACGGAATATTACAGAGTCAGATGGCAAAATATGGAAAATACTTTCACCAACGGTTGCAAGAGAATTCTGGCTTGTCTCGGGGCTAACACGTATTTTTAGAGCAAAAATGTAGTTATAGCTAAACGTCACAGATGGCGACGCTGGTCCTAAACAGTTGTTAGAATAATGAATTCACGGGATTTCGACAGGTTTGCATCGATCTTTTTATCATAACTTGATCGAAATGACATATAGGATGCTTCTGTTCCTATGATTCTTAACGTAGACTGTAAAAGACTTGAACACAAATATAAATGTCAGTAACGTGACGCGCCAGCTTATGTTCTCACTTGATTAATCAAAATGGCACCACCAAAACGGGTATAGATAAATTTTATTTTATCAACGTCGATTAAATTTCTCAGCGCCTTTCATATCATCTTAAGAGTTATCCGCCGGATAAAGTTACTCGGTTGTTTGAGTAACAGATATCTGGCAGATATCTATTACTGCGCCCTCGATGGAAGCACTTGGAAATGTTTTGTATAACCTATAGACGAGAAACGGGTATAACCTAACAAATTAGTTGCGTGGTCTACTGAGAATTACCGAATGAACGATAATATTACATTCAGTATGATAAACGATAAATATACGACAGTTTATTCAAACTGTAGATGTTTTCAATTTTCTTTCCTTTCTTTCCGTATAATGCTGAACCCCAGTGGCGCTAATTAATTAATATTAATAATGCATATTCTCTGATTTTGACTCGTTAAACGTATCACTCATTCTAATATCATGTAATAATAAAATATCGTTAACCATTTTCTAACAAAAGACTTTTACTCAGCAACTAGAGGATATAAAGTAATAAAAGTACATTAGAAAATTATGCATAATATAATTTAGCATTAATTTCCAAAATCAAGTTCAAAACTTCCCGCCAGTAGACGTAGGTATTTAAAATGTCCCATAATTCATGAAGTTAGCTATTTCTCACTTTTGTCGCGTTGCCGAATTGGCCAAAACATTTAACCGATTAAACGACAGAACTTATACGTACTGATAATTTGACAAACAGTGATGTGTTTACATGGACGTAAGAATATATGAACGGAGTCCAAAATCCCATTTTAGAACAGGAGCGGAAGCCTGCGTGTCGGAAAGGGAGGGATAGGACGGCCATATTGGTCAGCCAATCTTGTAGCCTCCTGATTGGTAGGTCACTATCTTCATATTTCCTATTTGCTGTATCTTATTTCTTTTTGACACTCCTATACGTAAAACATCATTGTTATACTTCTTCGTGCTATAAATGACATATTGTACTTAGTTTACTATTTACCTGTTCACAATTCGCAACGTTCTTTAACTCATTACTCCTAAAGTGACAACTAAATTTCAGCCAATCAGGATTTTGACTAACCAATATGGCTACCTTTCTGTTCCTACGCGTTTCCTCCTTACACGAGAGGCGTTTTTAAAGCTGACACATTTAAGTTTTCATAGGGACGGAAAAATGGAACGATTGAAAAAATATAATCAAATACATTTTGTTTTTTTTTTTTCTGAAAAACAGTTTTATTTATCATACAGTTCGATGGTTAAACTATTTGATTTCGACATGTCTTGATACGGTAGATCGATTCGCCGTTCCTAGCGAGAGTGCTAAAATTCCCCGACATCTGACGGCCAAACCCAGGGACGGTTGGAAACGGTTTATTATATTTGGCCAATAAGAATAATACAAGAAAAATATTTCTTTGACACGATAATTCTTTAAAACTATCAGGAAACTAAGGACAGTTTCGCGCCAAATATACGCTTACATACGTTGTATACGTATACGCGAAGCAATGTGTATACGTGAAACGCCATCGAGTTCTTAACGCCAGATTTGGGCTTGTTAAACCGGTAAGATACACATGTAAACACTGCACATCAAATTCTTAATTAAAAAGTATTAAATTACATCAATAACGGCGGTGACATTATTTTTGGACCTGGATAGATAATAAGCCAGGAACGGATCCATAAATGTTTCAAAAATATATGTCGTAACATTAATGTTAATATGATTAATCTGATATAATATGATAATCTTATATAAATTTATTTAATTCTATTAATGATTTTCAGGAGATTAACGTCCAATTACAGAAATAGTCTTAATTTGCACTATACCACTGTAATCCGAAAATCGATTCAAACATTTTTCTATCGTATAATCCATCGTTCAAATTCTGTTTAATGACATATTGTATTCCTGAAGTTTCAGTGGTATAATGTTCTCTAGAAACGTCAAAAGATCTATGTCGTTCATGTTTTGGAAACTGCTGCCAATAAATACTTACCAATAAATTTGTTAAATCCACGAAAAATAAGACAGTTCTGTCAAAAGACATTTCGTCCCGAGTTTCCAACGATTTTAATAGTTTTTTGTACTCTCCATATATTTCGGGATGTTCAAAATCAATAAAAATGCCATATTCCGGAAAACGAGTATGCTCATTAACCGAAGTTCCATTTTTCTCAACGTCAATTATCACGCTACGACAATAATCGTATTCTCGCCTTGAACCTGCTTGGCGACACTCCCTTAACGCATTAATAAAGCGTTTGAATGGCACAAAATTTGTTAAACTAATTAAATTCAACGTAGAGTTCCACTCTAAGTAATAGCCATTGCTCGTTGCTTCCTTTACTCGTTTTGCAGATATTTCCTCTACCTACTCTGGATCCCAAATACTTTCTTTAGCTCCTACCACCAAGGCTAAGGCCAATATGGTAATAACTACACAAATGAAATAATCGTTAACGAAATTAACGATACTAGGATTAGGGATTTTCAAAAGAAAAATTAATAATACCTTTTCGGCTGAGCACCATAATTGTTAGGAAATCAACGATGTCTTCACGACTAAGCATGTTACGCTGTAACGATCTCTTTAAATAGGACTCATTATCTTCAATATTCAAAGTGATGACAACTAAAGAGCAAAGAGCAAGAGACAACATTCTATCGTATTTATTATACACATACATTGTTCATCATTACATTTTCATATTTATCACGTTAGATTAATTAAATTTCTGAATCATTTGAGATACGGTATCAAACAGTAACAGCCCCATACGAAAAAAGTACATACGGTATACGTATATAATGTATTTGGCATAAACATGTATATGTATTTGGCATAATCAAAAATATACGGAATGTGCTGGGGCATGTATTAATGTCCGCGCCGTCTACAGACAGTATACGTATTTTTGAACATTTAACATCCATATAATATACATGGACGAGTATATATATTATACGTAAACGAGATATATGGTAAATGTATGTATGCATACTAGAGACGTGTATGAGATATCTGACATGGTAGACGGACGTATGTACGTATAATAAACGTAAATAAAAGTTTCAACATATGGTATATCTATCTTCAAAAGTTCAACAGCTGTATATTAGACCTATTTTTCATATATGATATTATGCGTATTTTATACATATATAGGACGTATTCCAAATGTAGGTGGAATGATTAAAAAAAGTATCATTTATTTTGCATGTGGACAGTTAATAAGCGAGGAAGGGTTCTGGATCCATAAATGTTTCAAAAACATATGTCGTGACGTTAATGTTAATCTGATTAATCTGTTTATTTCTATTGATGATTTTTATGGAGATCGATGTCCAGTTACGGAAATAGTCTTAATTATGATCATACCACTGTAATCCAAAATCTGATTCAAATCTTGTTCTGTCGTATATGCCATCCTTGAAATTCGGTGTAATAATATATTTTTTGTCTGGCGTTTCAGTGGATGCTTGATATCCTCCAGAGTCATACATGTTTCGTCGTTCATGTTCTGGAAACTGTTGCTTTACGAATAAATTTGTTAAGTCCAAGAAAAATAGTAAAGATTGATCAAAAGACATTTTGTCATTAGTTTCCAAAGAGTCTAATAGTTTTATGTACATTTCATGTAATTCGGGATGTTCAAAATCAATAAAAACTTCATTCTCGGGAAAACGGGTATGTTTGTTTACAGACGTTCCGTTTTTCTCAACGCCAATTATAAGATTACGACAATAATCGTGTTCCTGCCTTAAATCTCCTTGTCGACATTCTCTTAACGCGTTAACATAGTCTTTTAATGGCACAAAATTTTTTAAACTAAGTAAATTCACCGTAGATTTCCATTCCAAATAGGAGCCATTGCATATAGCTTCCCTTTTTTGTTTCGTAGATATTTCTTCTAAATCCTCTGTATCCGAAGCAATGCCTTGCGCTCTTGCTACCAACGCTAAGGCCAGTATGGTAATAACTACACAAATGAAATTATCATTAACGAAATTTACAATATTAATAACTGCACAAATGAAATTATCATTAACAAAATTTACAATACTAATAACTACACAAATGAAATTATCATTAACAAAATTTACAATACTAATAACTACACAAATGAAATTATCATTAACGAAATTTACAATACTAATAACTACACACATGAAATTATCATTAACGAAATTTACAATACTAGGATTAAGGTTTTCAATAGAAAAATGAGTAATACCTGTTCGAATGAGCACCATAATTGTTAGGCAATCAACAATGTCTTCACGACTAAGTCTGCTACGCTGCGGCGATCTCTTTAAATAAGAGTCACTATCTTCAATATTCCAAGTGCTGACAACTAGAGAGCAAAGAGCAAGGGATGATATTCTATCGTATTTATTATACATATACATTGTTCATAATTTCATTTTCATTTTTATCACTTTAAGTCAATTGGACTTCTGAATCATTTGAGATACGGTATCAAACAGTAGCAGTTGAAGAATTAATAAGCTTCGATTTTATAGAAATATCGGGTCAAATAATTAACCCCTTAACTACAGCGGAGTCGGATGCGAAGTGTGCATATTTTATATGAATACGAAATTCACATGTCGCTTTAAATACACGGGAATGAAGGGGACCACTATACTGGCGCTTCGTAGAGAAACGTAGGTCATACGGAAGCCACTATAGTGGCGTTTCATAATTAACGGGTTAATGCCTCTGATAAGAACCCACTGAACACCAAACCTAACAGTTACGTAACTTTAAACTAACAAATAACATAACGTTTGATATAATGTAATAACCTAACAGATACGTAACATAGAGCTAACTAGTTACATGACATTTATTACAATGCAGCAACTTAACAATTATGCAACATGAAGCTAACAGGTTACATTATCTTACATTATGTTACTGTTCCGATATTACTGTGTATATGCAGCACATATTTGTAACAAAGCAGAACTACATTGGTGCTGTCATCTATTTTATTACACCATCGTCATCGCCATTGTCATAATTCATCATCAAATGTCATAAGATTAATATATGTAATATTTTGTTTACTACTCGCATGAAATCATAATAGTCTTTAAGTAAAATCAGATAGTTTATCATTTACGTAATTGCATTGAAAGTCTGATTTGTCATTTAATATCTAACGATTGTCAAATACCAAAAAACAATTAAAAATAAAAAGTTATATAATTCTGGATGAAATTGCGCTATTTTTTTTTTATTAAATGTATGAAACATTAATATTATTTTAAGGTGACTGAAATTATAATATTAATATAACATTAATATAACATGTTACATAACATGTTACCTTACTGAGTGGGAAATAATAATAAGTAACATCTGACTTAACTAACTAACGGATTAATGGAATGATTATCCAAATCAGACTGAAATCGTGAAGAAAAATTAACATTTGCAGATTCTGTTTCCACCTAAACTGTCACTAGCGGCAAATTTATACCCTAATAAAAGAATTTGGGATATGCTCACGTTTGGAATGACCGTATTTCTGTAAAGAAATAGTAATAAATTGTGAATACTTACATACAAACCATGCCGTTTCTGTCGAGGGTGCTAAAATTTCCCCACACCTAGCAGCCAAACTCAGGGATGGTTATAAATTGTTTATTATATTTGACTAATAAGAATAATAAGAAAAATATTTCTTATATATGNGAAAATTTGCCACTAATATACCTTTAGCACATATAGGTCATAACTAACCGTGTCATTACTGTTGGTATATATAGGCGATTTGAAAATTTGCCTCTAATATAACGTCAGCACATATAGGCCATAACTAATCGTGTCACTACTGTTGGTATATATAGGCGATTGGAAAATTTGCCACTAATATACCTTTAGCACATATAGGTCATAACTAACCGTGTCATTACTGTTGGTATATAGACGATTTGAAAATTTGCCACTAATATACCTTTAGCACATATAGGTCATAACTAACCGTGTCATTACTGTTGGTATATATAGGCGATTTGAAAATTTGCCTCTAATATAACGTCAGCACATATAGGCCATAACTAATCGTGTCACTACTGTTGGTATATATAGGCGATTGGAAAATTTGCCACTAATATACCTTTAGCACATATAGGTCATAACTAACCGTGTCATTACTGTTGGTATATAGGCGATGTGAAAATTTGCGTCTAATATACCGTCAGCACATATACGCCATAACTAACCGTGTCATTACTGTTGGTATATAGGTGATTTGAAAATTTGCCACTAATATACCTTTAGCACATATACGCCGTAACTAACCGTGTCACTACTGTTGGTATATATAGGCCATTGGAAAATTTGCCACCAATATACCTTTAGCACATATGCGCCATAACTAACCGCGTCATTATTGTTGGTATATAGGCGATTTGAAAATTTGCCTCTAATATACTGTTAGCACATATGGGCCATAACTAACCGTGTCATTACTGTTGGTATATAGGCGATTTAAAAATTATCCTCTAATATACCGTTAGCACATAGGGGCCTCGATAATTCTTGTCGATGCATCACCTATTTTTTTTTCATCATTGAGCAAAACTTCAAAAATATTTTAAATCCTCCAAAGAACTACCTTTTCAAGCAAATATTGTGACACTATGTACTAACGGCCCATATACTCATATCTCACTTTTAGCGTTAAAAGACGTATTTTAGAGCACTGTTAAAAGCGACCCTCCTCGTGTATCACTTTTAAACCACTTTTATAGAAAATCCTTAAAAGAAACTATAAAAGAGGTAAATGAACAATAATAAATTGCTAATGAACCATTTCCAAACAAGCTTGAAGCTTACCTACGTTGTAAAATATTCACGCGTGAAAATTTTACAACGATAATTTTCTAATATAATAAATATACTATAATGTTCTATTATGTAATGTTAAAGCTGACGTCGAGACATTTCCAAAACTCTAGTTGATAACTATCGTATAAAAGATTGTTGATCCTACCCCACCCGCGCATGGAAAGCAATTACAATTTTATACAATTTTTAATCCATTATAAATAAATATTCATAATAATTGTATAAATTAATGATTCGACTGTTTAAATCGTGTCCACCATTTTTTGTACGCCCTGTACATACTAACCGAATCATACATGGACGTAAGAATATATGGATGACGCCCAAAGTCCCATCTTATACCGGGAGAGAAGTCTATGCTTCGGAAAGAGTGGAGTAGGCCGGCCATATTGGTCAGCCAATTTTTCAGCCCCCTGACTGGTACGTTATCTGTTTCATATTTCCTGTTTGCTCTAACTTATTTATTTTCGCCACTCCTCTACGTAAAACATCATTTTCACACTTCCTGATGCGACACGTTTACGTATTGTACATATACATTTCATAATTCTGCGCAGACCATGCAACCAATTTGTTAGATTACACCTATTTGTGACCTGTAATTTATACAAAACATTTCTAAGTATTCCCGATGATCCCGTAATAAATATCTGCCAGATATCTGCTACTCAAACTACCGGATAACTCTTAACTGGAAGTGAAAAGAACCGAACTGAAAGATATCTTCCGGATAACTTTATCGGGAACTTATCCGTGGATGAAAAAATCAGGCACTAATCGGAGTTTAACTGGCTTACAACAAGTTTAACACTATTTCTACCAAAGGTGTCGAAAGACACCTTTTAACATTTTAACTTGAAATTATTTTCAAAGTTTAATAATTTTTTCTCAATTAATGTTTTGAGTTTTCGTATAATAATTGTTAAATTTATTTAGCGGTATCATTTTTCTCCAACTCGTCAAAACCTTTTGGTCGAAATAGGTATACACAAAATCGTGGTAGAAATAGTGTTAAATCGGATATAAACCAGTTAAACTTCGGTTAAATCGAGTCGTGGCAACACCGGGCTCTAGTAAATTTAAATAGACCCGCCAAAGTAAACCGTTGGCCATCTGATGGAGACATTCTCAACCACGTATCAACATCCGATTCGAAGCTGGTTTCCGGGTGAGCGTGCACTCTTCCATATTGTTTTTGGAAGCCGACGAGAGTTATCGTTGCTTCGAGGTCCGGAGTAATCAGAATTTTCTAGAGCAATCTAGACTTTTCTGACCGGCAGAGATGAGGGCGAAGGTACGTCTACGTTATTTGTTGCAATTGCCGAATATATTTTTTTCCGCACTTTTATAATACAAACTTAACACGATATAAATTGCACACTAAGCTGACACCTGAATTTATACACGAACTAAAATGTGCGCATATAATACACGGCGTCAGCAAAGAATTAATTTTTATTAAGGAATAATAAACTACCTTGTAAATTTTAGTGTGAAAATTGTAAAGTTTTTGTTGCAACTTGATATACCATACTTTATTACTCTTAAATGTAGTATCGGTAAAAACAATATTCTGGATGGTATATTATAGACTACAACAGATCTGTAATTTTTATTTTTCAATTGATGAACCATGATTGTTAACTTTAAGTGTATTGTTTATTTAGTGGCGTAAGAAGCGAATGCGCAGGCTAAAGCGTAAGAGGAGGAAGATGCGTGCAAGGTCAAAGTAAATTCACGCAGCTTTTTTCCGTAAGTATAATTTGTATTTCAATTACCACAATCTTTCAATTAGAAAGTATTTATTTATTATAATTTGAGTATAATAATTTCATTTTTGAATCTGACTTGAAATGCGATGGAATTTGCATTATTCCAATTTTGCATCATTATGAATTTATACGTCAATTCAATTCTTTTGGTACAGAGAAATTAGATGAAAATAATTAATTGTGTGCAGATACTTGTCTCACCGAGTATTGTTTAATGACTAATGTACTCTTAGTAACCATACATCATTTTCTGCTAGGTAATTCTAGTTCTTAGTACTAAAAGGGTTAATTAGTGATATACAGTTGTTAGTTCATTCCTTTGTCCTATTCTTTATTTCACTGATACTTTCTTAATTATACTTAAATTATAAGATAAATTCTTCATCAGTTTGCTATAGATAAAAGGCCACCTATATTATTTGGAAGTAGTATGGCTTAAAAGGGTATATAGTAGGATATTCAATCATTAAGTTGTGTTAAAGTATATAAAATAATTTAATGTTTTTACAGATCACCAAGAACTACCTGACAACCAATACCATTGTCTGTTATCGGAAAGCTGACTGGTCTATTCAACATCCCTCGGATCAGTGCTTATCAGCAAAATAATTATTTTAAAAGTTCACTTGTCTTGGATACATTTTAATAAAATATACTCAAGATGAATACAAACTTGTTACCTACGAAATACCTTTCCTCAATAAACATTTTTAAAATATTCAGTATATGTTGATAGAGTAGGGATTCAAAATGTTATTATATTATAAATGACACATACAAATAGAAAGAAAGGATGATTCGAACATGAATTTAATATTTGATAAAATAAATATTTTAAGATAATGATGTTAAAATGTTAGATTAAAGTTGTAAGAATCTTTAACTTCATTATGAGATAGTGTACAGTTTCATTTAACTAACTTTTTTTCTTCTATAACGTTGTATGTAATGTCTTAAATGCAGTTGCCGGTTTTAGATAACCTTTCCAACCCCCATGCGGCATAGACATAACCTCAAAACCAGTGACAGGATGAGTAACCGCATATCTCAACAAATATTCGCTGCGGGACGTATTTTATTTAAACCCTCGAAAATATGTCGTTGCAAGTTAGATAGCAACAATACACAGTTGCTAAAGTCGAGATTATACGCAACCGACAAAGCTTACAAAGTTACTGACGATGAAAACGTTACGCAGAGTAAAAAACCTAACCTCTCCATTGGTGCGAGGGGAAAATACAAGATTTTCCAAGATGATGATTCGACGGTTATATTTGATGTAGACGAGGAGAAAAAGAAAATTGATTTGAAGGAGTTAAACGCCCCCATGGAAGAAAAAGATTCTTTCGAAGGCATCAACTTAAACCGTAAACTATATTCTATTTCTTATTTATGTTTTGTTATAAAGAAATCTCATTGAATATCTCAAAACAGTCTTCAAAAGAATTGTTAATTACTTTACCGACATCTTATGTCTCATGGATCGTGTTCTTTTATGTATTTTTATTTTTATTAAATAGGAGGAACGAATGGTGTATTTGAAATCGAACATCTCATTGATGTTTTAAAAAAAGACAAAGCCGTGGACATCTTTGTGGCTACCGTACCTAAGGAATATGCTTATGTTGATTACATTGTTGTCGTCACTGGAAAGTCACAAAAGCATATGATTGCGCTAGCTCAATTTGTACGCAAGATATATAAAATAAAAAGAGAAAAAGGGGACAGAATACCAAAAATTGAAGGAAAGAAGTCACAAGAATGGTTAGCTTTAGACTTAGGTAAGCTAAAAGATATTTTTGAATTCTTTTGTCAAAATATCAAATTGCTGAAAATAATTCATTTACTTTTCTTTAGGAAATATTGCTTTACACATCTTCTCATCAAATGTTAGAAAGATGTATGACTTGGAGACTCTGTGGACTGTTGGCTCTTTGTATGATGACGAGACCCACAAAACCTGTAAATCTAGTGAGATATTTGAGAAATATAATGCTTTCCTAGCCAATCTTGAGCCAGCGGACGCTTAAAAAACCTAAAGTAAGATAATATTATAAATTGTATAAATAAAGTTACCTTATACTTCCCAATTTCCATTTTCTTTCATCTTCTTCACTTTAAACTTTATAGTGAACTATTAAAAATGGTGAATCATCCCTCTACTTTGATAGAAACAATTGTTGCAAATATAATAATCTTTACAATATCATTTGAAATTTCAGCAGTATATGCTATAAAGACTTACTAATCTCTGATTTTATTCCTTAATTGTTTTAAATTTCCCGGGAAAAAGTGACTATGTAGAAATTCACAATTCTGATTGGTTGAGCGTATAGTTAAACATGCAGCTGACTCCATAATATTCCATTTCTATAGTACTCTAAATTGCTTAAGTCAGGTCTTGAAACTTTTAATTTTCGATTTTAAGGTGAAGTGAAACCCCCTTCAAATCAGTCGATTCAAATACAACACTTTTTTTAAGGGTATTGGCTAGAACCGTCTGAAAGTTTGACACATGACTCATTAGCACCTAGAAATTATCCTGACACTATCAAAATTTGGGCTTTTGAAAAAAATCTTTTAACTTAACCCAGACCAGAACCAAAATGGCGTCGAGCTCTCATATTTCGATCAATATACAATTATCGAAGGCTCTGATATGAGAAACGAAAGAGTCAGGACAATTACACGACAATTTAAAACACTCTGGTAATCGAGAAACTTGCATTTGAACGGGATAAAGGCAAGAAAAGTGTTTTATGCGCTTCTAATCTAAAATGATGGCAATACAAGGTCTCGGAGTGAAAATTTAGTTGACATGAAAATCACAGATGGCGCAGGGGGTCCCTCTGCAGTCAATTAGGGCCCCAAAAAGCATAAATCCAGAGTATTTCCGGAGTTTTACTTCAATTTCTTTATAATTATTGTACGAAAACGGCAGGTGGAGTATGTCATTTAGTACAATACTCAATATAATTCGACACAGATGCCGATATAAAAATCAACGTAGGTATTTAGAAAAATCTTCTTTATTGACGTCGATCAAGTTCCTCGACGTGTTTCACTTCACCTTAAACCAAAGATCAATGTAAATACTAATTAACTGAAATAAAACCGCTTAATTTTCAGAATCAGGCCCCTTTCAGGGCATGCGAATTCTCACGTATCGTGTCATAAGAAGTTTCACTTCAAAAAAGGATTTCGGAATTATCTTTTATTAAAAAATCCATGCCTTAAGGGTTAACGTTTGCAGGCGATTTCGATACTGCAAACCTACATTTACTACCGTGACGTAAGTACCAGTTTAACACTTTTTCTTTCCGCATTACCATTTTGACGTTTACATGAATTTATGCAATGCATTCTTATACTAAACAGTAGTCAAGCCTTTATAATGTAGGCCGTGACACCGTGCCACATGCACACACTATACTATGATAGAGGATCGTGAGCTATAGTGCGTGCAGTGCACCGTAGGGTTTCAAGTATAGTTACGTATAATTAGAGCAAGCCGATTGACCGTGACACCTCTCAGTCGTGTCTTTGTCTCTGTCATACTTGGTTAAACCTGATGACTCTCTTGAAACGGTATGGCATTTCCTTTTATCTCTTGACTGTGACTGTTCTGAAGCAATACGGCTCACCCAGTGGAACTACAAATGTACGCGTTATCTCGATCCAACCACTGCCTTATCGAGTTATCTGTCGACTGACAAGCTGACTAAGAGCACGTTTTGCTAAAGCATTCCCTCTAATCAGCCTTTTTCCATTCAGGTGTCCTAGATGTTTGCACTTTCTCCGTCATTGTCCTATTCTCCAACTCTGCATGGAACTACGATGCGAAACCCTTTGAAAAATCTTCGTCATCGTGGAGCCTCTTCGACGGATGATGGAGAATCAAAAATAGCTTGTGGAATTGCTAACAATATCCATTGTTTATTTTAATTACACGTGTTTCAAGAGAGGCTCTGGTGATCTCCAGCGAAGGGATTATGTTCAAAGCAGAGCCGTAGTCACTGTGGTCGGAGGAAATCTGAGGATTGAATTTTAAAGGTAATGTACTTTGGAACTTTGTACTATGTGTATTCATATGTGGTAATAGGATTATTATGAACAATGATATTTTTGATTTTAGGGAATATAATTATTATAGTTAGTATAACTATCTACCAGCTTTGAGTAAAAGACTGTGTCTAGTTTTCCTTAAAAAGGATCGGTAGTATGATTTAGAAATGCTCATAGAATGGATATCAATACGATTGTAAAATGACATGTAAGTGTATTATCCTAAGGGTCGATAGTCATAAAATTTAATATGAAATTATAACATAAGATTTTTTACACAGGATAGTGAAAGACCAAAAAAAATGTTATACAATATTTTTACATTGACAACAGTCAACTCTGAAAACTTTTAAAAATATTGTATTACTTCTAATTCCTTTTAAACAAGAAATCACATATTAATTGAAATATAAATTGAATTATAATGGTGTATTGTCCTAGGATTATTGATATAAAAATATTAATATAATCCTTGCAGTAAAGATGACAGCTTAATTCAATAGAATCATAACATTCATACCGTGGAGACTTTTCCTGTGATAATATGATAATTTATCGAGGATATAAAAAAGGGAAATCCAGAAAGAATAATGAGGACTACATCCCTAAGTTTTTGCAATGTAATTTGAAATAAACAATTTCAAAGTGGTAACAAGAAACTTAACAAAAATGGCAAAGAAGTCTGGGCCCATCTGCCAGGCAAAGGCAACTCGTTGCCTGAAGGTTCCTTTAAAATCAACAGAGCAGATCTACTTAGTCTTTTTAATTCCAACGCTGCTTAGTTGTATCATTTACATTGTGCACTTCTCATCCGATTTGGTGGTAGCGATACAGCATTTTAGAGAAGAGCATTCAGCATGGGGATGCTATACGATTGGTTTGATGTATGCTCCTGCTATTGCATATTTTGGACTAACCGTCTCGAGACCAGACTGGTGGATGACAGAAGATGATAAATTGTCTAAGGGAGTCGTGCAATGGTTTTTGCTACAATTGTGTCATCTTATTGCATTTCCACTATTTGCACTTTACAGGTAGTACATTCTAAACATTAAATACAATCATGAATATTAGTAAAGTTAATTTCTCTTCAACTGGAAATAATCTTTGAACATAATTTCAGATATGCTGGCCAAATAGTACTTGCAATTGATGCTATTCTTCTATCTGGACAAGAAAGGACAAAAACCTTAAACGTAGCTGCTGTACCAGCTGCCATTGAATTATATTTCTTCCTTCAAGCCTGGTTCCAGGCAGCGCCGCAAGCAGTACTGCAAACTCATTTGCTGTTTCGACAGGAACATATCATACGCAGTGCACAATCTGGTACAGTTACTTTTTTAGCATTAACCTTCCATTTTACTTTCTCTTTATAAAAATAGAACATTTCTTACAGTTACGGTCCACGTTCTGTGCATCTTCATGTCGATTTTGGCACTTTCCATACAGACAATGTCCTTTCAAAGGTTTGAAAGCCAACGAGTAAATGGTAGAAAGGTACCCTGGGCAATGTGGTTAAATAAGTATCGCACTCAGGTAATCAAGACTTGTTTCTTAAATAACTAATTTCTTACTCATTTCTACATCTGTTAATTAATAACAATTAGAAAAACTCAAGTCTTATTCTATTACTTTTAAGAAACCTTAACGACCTACATTGGCAATGAATTTTCTCTATTTCAATTAAAGATTATACAAAGAAAAAATTAATTTTTCTTATGATGAACTAATAAAAAATTTACTCGTTTCAAAGGATTTTGGAAGTTTAGGTGAAAAGAAACCATTGCAATCGACTGTACTACCTGAAGAAAAGAGTACTACAGAACAAACCACTTCTGAACAAAATGTCGAGACGGATTCCAAGGAAGATCTATTACCGGACAGACCAAGTAATCCGCTGTATCAAAATCTCACCGATGGAGTACCAGTTCTGGAACGTCAGATTTCGACAACTCCTCCGTTGCCCCCTCGGAATGTTCAGGTTACACCACCTCCAGCTCCTCTGCGAGGAATCACAACGGTGACACCTCTTCCAATACCAGAAATGCCAGCACCCCCTCGACCAGACTCTGCACTAATTTCACCGGAGTCTAAATATCTAAGTAAAGGAGCTTTGTTGCCAGCAGAACCATCCGAAAGCCAGTACGAAAGGTCTCCAAGTTTAAGAGTGCCAACAAGAGTGTACACCACGAAGGGCCTCGAAGAGGACGATCCCATTGGCAAGTTTTTGGGCATACTCTGGTGGTGGTTTTTTATCGCACCCAGAATATTTTCCATTGCTGTGTTCTACGAGTTTTACCCGGAATATTTGTTAATAATAGTGGGCCTGCATTATGTCATCATGCTCGCCTATTTGTTCTACTACTCCAAGGATTATTGCGTAACAACAGTTGCCATTAACCTGTGGCTTGGCATGGTGTATATCTTTGGTATAATCGAATATAAAGTGAAGTTCAAGTATGCAGATCGCTGGATTATATCCTACTATGTGTTTATGATGTTGCAAAACACGTTTTTATCACTAATTTGGTACTTCTATGCTGAATGGGATAGCTATTGGTATGCGTACATATTCTTTGCCACCTTCGCAAGTATGGGACTTTGTATAATGTGTACTGTAGTGTATTACGTTTTACTAAAGCCAAAGAAACACAGAGTGTATGCTAGTTGACCCGACAAGCAAACAAGTAATATCAAACGAGTATGTTTTAAATGCAAAGCATTGTTTGAAAATGTCAAAAATATGTTACGCAGCCAAAGTTAGTCTTCGCGAACGTCTCTTCGTCTTTTATCCAGGTAATGTTTTTCTAGAACTTACATCACTATTTTCAAAGATTCGAAGACTTGTATCATTAACGACGCTAATTATTTTCACAAATACTGTCCAAAACAGATTTTTGAATGATCGGTATTACCTGTGAATTATATATTGTTTGAATGATAATTAGAAATTTCTCCTTAACAGAAAAAGATATGAATAAGCTATTTAAGAAAAATATGTAGTGAATGAATATAGCTATAGGTTAGACATTATATATAATAAGACACGTACACTTTATGTGTAATATAGCGATCTTATCGATTCACAGGTATCTTTTATGGTCAATGCTAGTCTTCACAAGTACTTTATCACTTCTTCCAGTAAACGGCACGAAAAACTTAGTAAAATATTAAAGCGTTAAAGGAAGAAATAAAATCTTTGACAAAGGTAAAAATGAAAGAATGCAAAGAAAGTTAACCAATAGCGTAATCTAACTGTTAAAAGACTAAAAGAAAACGTGTTCCGTGGCTAGTAATAGGTGGGGCAAATACTTTTTGGATTCTTCCAGTGAAGGAAGAATGAACTTTAAGGAAATTTAAATTATTCCTCACGGTAAGAATGAATGAAGTTGAGCTTCTTAAAATAACAATACGTAGAATGAAATTCAAATTCAACGTTGAGGTCTCTACTAAAGGTGGAAAAGGTTCTTGCTTCACTTGAAACGATCTCATGTCCTCTAAAGTAAGTCCCAATGATTATGAACAGAGTCCAAGTTATATACAGGTGTTCAAACATTGAACTCGATGGATGCTGTATGTGTTCATATTTAGATATTTATTTGTTATCTAACCGTTCATATAGTAAACACCAGATGTAAGCTTATGCAAAAGATCCGCCGAAAAAAGACTTGTAAATTTAGTTACTAAATCTGGCAGCAGTCTCTTTTTATCGTACCGATAAAAAATGTTATTTTACTTAATAGTATGTACAGAATTGTAATGTACTATATACAATATAAAAGTCACTGCTCATGTATTGTTTTACACGATTATTAAAATAACTCGAAACGAGCACGGACCGCCTCTCTCGTTTAACTTTGTACATGAAATGTCACTATGCACGATTCAGCTTATGTTGCTTTTTGTGACTTAGGAAGATATTTGATGTAATGTTCCCCTTTGTCATAAACTATTTCATACAATAGTTATGATGCATCACGGGCAATTTAACTGTCAATAATTTACATGCATCATTGCCAGGAACTCCATGAAACAAAAATTACCGAATTACAAATCGGGGTAACAGAATTCTGATCTCAAACATGAATATTAGAGTCTCTGTGGAGATTGCCAAGTTGAGCCTCGAACAAAATGTCATTCAATAATTTCTCTGCTATGATTCTTTGATCCAGTCTCATATTGCGCAACTTTGCAGCAACGTTTCGACCAATTGCATCAAATTCGTCTTCCACGACAAATGAATTATTATGAGAGACTTTCAAGAGGTCACCGCATTCGGCATCTTCTGACCGTCTTCTACGTATTATTGGAGGCTCCACCCAATCAGTTTGTTGTTCGCAAGACTCCTCACCTCCAGGCAGACATTCCTCCTGCAGAAGAGAACAAATATTAGTCTAATGGAATAAGTACAACGAAAGTTAGAAAAACTAAATAAAAAATGCAATACCGCTTTATAGCACTTTCTGTATCCACGCTTCGTCCTCACTATTTCGGGACAGTTGTCTGCAGATAAGTCTATGTACACCATTGCTGGCTTTCTCTGATTCGATTTGCACTTAATCTTATCAATCATGAATGGATGGACTCTCTATGAATGAAAAAAGTATATGAAAAGATATTAAGTATGACAGTTGTAGAAGGGCAATACATACTTTTATATGGCTAAGAAAGTTTCCCGTTGATTTTAGATTTCCATTGAGCAACTTCTGGCATTGCAAACACCGCACCGTTACATTAGTGCCTTCGATCCGTATCACCGTAAAAAATTCCCCATCCAAAATGGCTGGTAATCGAACCGGGGTAAGGGTCATGTTTTGCTGAGGATTAGATTGAAGTGGTGTAATCTGCGCTGTCTGTTGCTGTTGTTGTTGTTGCTGCTGTTGTTGATGTATTGTTGGACTTTCTTCATTTCCATGATTCTCAACTTGAGTCGGTGTTTGATCACCAACAGTCTGTGTCAAATCTCGTTGTTGTTGCTGGCCAGCAGCTTCTATCATACACGAGTCGAAGCCTTCGATCTTAGCTTCGTATCGTTGCACCGGGAAGCTGTCCATGATCCAACTGTGTGGATCACAGGGATGTTGTGCCACAAAAATCTACTTCGTTAACTTACCGCTATAAGCCGTTGCTGTTTCATACAGGTATATAAAATGTAGTTATTTATCTCAGGCTCTTATTGAATTTGAGATAAGCTGCCAGATAAGGTGGTAACGTACGACAACATCTAGATCAGATGATAGATGAGCAATCCCAGGGTGCGACAAAGGCCAAGAGAAGTATCAGAGATACTATTTGCCAACCTCCAGGCATATGAATTGATACCTCCGCAAACTGGTTTGTGCAATTATTACACATTCAAAGATACATCCTGACATGTCGCTGAGTTCCGTCCAGTTGCCTACCACAGATAAATCTTCGTGCACTGCTCTTACTTCGACTATTCTCACAGATGACAAACAGTGTTTGGCCCGACTGCTGTAAATAAATATGTCCACCCTAAAGGCTAGCGATACTATTTCAGTATTTATGTATGCAGTCTTCGAACCACATTTCAGGCAACCAGCAATTGATTTTCACCAAGCGTTTAATTGCTCTACAAGCTTGTTATCGGCTAGTTTAACTGTTTGGCCAGCAAACAGAAGTGCCACTATAAAGTCTCTTACTTGTATAATAGGACCTTTTAAATATAACCTCTTTGTACGCAACTTAACTGCAGAGACTGAATCATAGTCATACACATTTATTTATTAGAGCCATTAGCATTAAAAGCACGCACGAAAGATATAAACATTCCTTTGAGCCACCTGAGATGAAAGAAATCACATCATGATACCTTATCAAAAATTGTTGTCAGATCAAAACCCCACTTCCTAGTTCGACCCAAAGGAGGCGCCACCTTTGAAAAGTTTAAAGATGGCGTCCTCGAGTAAAAATTCAAATTAAAATACACATTAAACGTAAAAAAATTAAGAATCCATTTTTCTCTCTCATCGTTTTCTCTCTCATACTTCATAGAAGGTGAACAATTTGCGTAACCTTAACAAACGAAACTATTCGTCATTCTCATGATTTCTCAACATTTTCCCCCGTATTTGAATGAAGTCACTACATTAGTCAATGGAGTAATTATTTTTCATTCAATTTCTTTTCAATGCACCAGAGTAAAAATATTCGAGTGTTACAAATTTACCTCACAATTAATTTTAATATGTTTCTGCTGCATACAAATCAAACTCGTATTTATCCTCAAAATAATGTTGACTTGTTGCAGGGATCCGCCTTGCGCGCTCATTTGGCAAAGGCTGCATTATCCAACAGAAAGGAGATGAAAATAGCCACAGCCCCTAATAGGTAGTGATTTTAATAAATGAATTATATTCTACGTACTTCTTATTCACCAACAATTTGATGTAATATACATTTAATGATGACATACTTAGCAAATTAATTGTATGAAAGTGGAGCTACGTCGTTATTTTTGAATAACTTCAATAATTGCTTATCAATGATAAGTATACGTAGTCACGTGACCGCGCCACGTGACCTCATGGAAATCCAATATGGCGAAATTGAGAACGCAGGTGTGACGTGTGCGAGGGAGCCGAGGAGCGGCTTCTTCGTTCGTCAGTTTTTCCGAACCGAAGAACTGATGGTATAATGCGAGGCTACGGAGGAACACCTGAACAAGCAACACGTCAAGGAAATTAAATGGAGAGCCAGCAACTACAGTGTGACTACGTTTTCACTAGACGAAGGTAACCTTACTTTGGACTCGTCGTTCGGAGTTGCTCCGATCGACACTTCAGATGTCAAGAAACGTTCCGGAACATCAGTGAACGTTTTCGTCCGTCCGTTGTTTGAGAATATTCCTTTTTATTCGATATTTGAGATAATTATCGATAATTTATGTGAGGAAAGTGCGTGGCAAACCTACGTTGCGTAATGACGTCATTAATAATTCAAACACTCGGTCGTATTGTCGATGGAATGGCTGAATTTCTATGTCAAAATTATTAAAGCTTTATCTGTCTCGTAAAACATGACCCTCAATACGCTAGACTATGCAATCGATAGTAAGGAGACTGCGAACATTAACCCAACGCCATAAATACTTAATGTCACTATTCCGATAAGTTTTTTTGTATGGAGGTGGTTTTCAATTTCACAGATCCCGTTACTAATTTATGACGTGTTAGTAACATTTATTCAGATAACACTAACACTAGTAAACATTCTTGTATGAATGGTTCAATGCGGTGGATCATATCAGCATTTAATTCACTAATATCTTGTATTTCCCTTATTTGTTTGTGTGTAATTTAATAGAAATATGCTGATTTTGTCTTAAGCTATAATAGCACTAGTGTTTAGAAAATAATTTAGATTAATAAGAAGATAGTAAATATGCTATGTTTAAATCCATTACAGTTTACATATTCCTTTGCAGATGGATAGAGTACGACTGTTGCCGATGGAACTGCCACCTGGCAGCAGCACGAACTCTAGTGCAAATGGCAAGGGGAAGATGTCATTTGTCAAGAGAATGGCACTAGGTTTTATAATCCTTGCAGCTTTAGGCCTACTGTATGTACCAGCTTATCATTCGGCGCAAGGTCCACTACTAGGTTTAGGTGAGATACCTTCCCCAGATTCTGCTGGGTCTCTGGTTGGCTCGCACTTCGTAGCCTCCATAGGTATGCATTTACTAACACGGCTTGACTCTAGCTTTATGGCATGTATTTTCAGTTCATTCAACTATCTTGTAAATATTCAAACCAGTTCAAAAGAGGTCAACATTGGGAAGCTTCGTTTCCACCATTGCTTTAATAGAATAGATAATTATATATTCTTTGAATTCCTATCACTCTTGCGGGTGATTGCCTCAATCGATTAAAAAAGAAGCATTGAAAAATGCTTTAATTTCAAATTCTATCGTTAGCTTTTCCAATTTTTGATCACAAAGCAGTAGTGAAAAATATTATGAAACATAAGATCATTTACAATGAAAATGGAGTATCAAAATGATTAAAGCATTTTTTGAAATTACAATTACTTAATTACTTATCCCTAGTGTTTCCCAAGTTTTACTCTGGTATCCTTTTTATTGCATTATTTTGTGATCGTTGCATTTAGGATTTGTAAATATTAAGCCCAGCGAGAAAAATGCAGCACCATCGCTTGATCTACATTGCTTCACTATATAGGTATTCGGCACTGCAATCTAGCATACTAAATAGCAATTGAAAAACAATAAATATATTGGCCTAGACATGCAGAATTGATCTGCTTCTTAGTCAATTAGAATTGATCTAATCTTAGCTGATTTTTTCTCGCACCAAATGCATTTTAGAAATATAGACTAGCTTGTGGGATATGAATCCTTTAAGAGATAATTTAATAAGTTTACGTGTCAAAAACGATTAGAGTCACTTCAGAACTTATTTTCTATACTTCCTTTACACTCTCAATAAGAAGGAAAACCATTTGCATAGGTTTGTTAACAATTTCTTCCATTCATATGTTGGGGTTACCTTTTCAATGTAAGCAGAGAGAGTTCATTTTATTTTTCATTGGAATAATTTAGTTTCAGCTCAATTACCTGGTTGGACCTATAATACCTCGCGAGATCTTTCCGTGTACATCCATCCAGAGAACACCACAACAATTCTCAACCCTGTTAACATTTGTATGCCGCCACCGTTCCTACTAATAGTGATCTGCTCAGCAGTGGCAAACCGTAAGGCAAGAGATGCCATTAGAAACACTTGGGCCAATAAAAACAATTTGGACAGCTTGTACAATTCCACCGTTAGTATAGCCTTCCTTGTGGGTCAAACCGACAACGAGACACTTGATGTAAGGATACATTTTTACTATAGAATGGTATTCGATATGCAGTATGGTATACATTATATCTTAGTTGCAACAGTTACTCTTTGTACAGGCCGTAATACACTTTACTCTTTTTTATTCATTGCAAATCGTTTAAAGCAATAGCAAAAGTTTAACATAATTGTAACTAGCAGTAACTTTTCAAGCTATGCAACTGGCACGTAATGGTATAAATAAAATAGTATGTATTAATTAAAATAAATTAAACTAATGTAGTTATTTTCGTGAATAATGCTCGTTTATACCATCTTGTACATATAGGGTAACGATATTTAGTATGACGGTAAATTAATGAGTTTGTAAATAAGGACTTTTTAAATTTATTTTCTTAACGATGTTGCGTGTTGATTATGCTTTTGGTCTTTCTTAGAATGCAATAATGGAGGAGAGTGTTGAAAATAGTGACATAATCCAAGAACAGTTCCATGACACGTACAATAATCTTACACTGAAGTCTGTTATGATACTGAAGTGGGTCACATCAAACTGCAAGGGAAGCAAGTATCTCATGAAGACAGATGATGACATGTTTGTCAATGTCAATACGCTGATGCGCACTTTGAAGGCGAGGCCTTACACTACTAACACATTACTCGGCTCTCTCATCTGCAACGCCAAGCCCATATTGGATCCCAAAAATAAATGGTGAGTTGAATAATCTACTCCACAATACGGTTGTCACTGTTTAAGGTGATATGAAAGGCGCTGAGAAATTTAATCAATGTCGATAGATTAAAATTCATCTATACCCTTTTGGGTGGTAAAGTAACGTTTTGAATATCAAGTGGTAACATAAGCTGGCGCGTCACGTTATCGACATTCATATTTATGTTGGTCTTTTACAGTTAGGGTGATAATCATATGAACTGAAGCATTCCATATGCCATTTCGGTAAAGTCATGACGAAGAGATCGATGTAAAACTGTCGAAATCCCGCGAATTCATTATTCTAACGACTGTTTACGATCAACGTCGCCATCTGTGACATTTAGCTGCAACTAATTTTTTGCTCTAAAAACACGTGGTAGCAACGGGACAAGTCAGCTTGTAATCGATAATAGAAGTATTTTCCATATTTTCCCATTTGACTCTGTAATATTCCACTTCTACGATATTCTAAATTGTTCGCGCTAGGTCCTGAAACTCTTCATTTTCGATTCTAAGCCTCCAAGAAGCGTAAAACATCGAAAACATGCCTGGACCACGCCATGTTGGTTTTAAATCCATGATAAATGAATAAATTTTTGATGAAAAACGAAATTTCAGGAATTGCTGGACTTACTTTGAAGCCTCCATATTCACGTGGTAATATTTGAAACGAATCGGTAGCCCCAATTCGGAGAATACTTTTACCAACGATTTCACTTCTCAGATATATACAGGCTGACCTTAAGGTGATATGAAAGGGTCATTCTATATATATATAAAACGTGAAAGTATTTATAAAACCTTTCTCCAAACTGGGTGCACCGAATCATTTGAAACTTCATCACGCGATTATGGCTGGCCCTAAGTAAGAACGCGATGCTCGTGAAATGTCATGTTTCACAAAATCTTCTTTAGGGCTTACATAATCACTTGTTAATTTTTCAAATTATTCAGTGTACCCTATTTGGCGAAAAGTTTTATCAATATCTTCACATTTTGATGTATAGAATGACCTTTTCATACCACCTTAAGGAAAGTAAATCTATGGTAGGCATGTATCGTTACATGTTTTGTACTGAAATTTAGCTTTTGTCTCAGCATGATCTCCGATGTGACCAGGTCATTTAAATAATGACACCTAACATTTTTCTCTCGCATGCTTCAGGTACACTCCGAAGTACATGTACTCCGAGAAGATGTATCCCAATTACTTGTCAGGAACAGGCTACGTAATGAGCATCGACGTTGCTGAGAAATTATATCAAGCAGCTCTAGCGACTCCGTTGTTGCATCTAGAGGACGTCTACATAACCGGAGTGTGTGCAAGACGTGCCAGACTGAAACCAGTCAATCACCCCGGATTCAGCTACGTTCCTCGTAAATTAGAGCCCTGCATATTTCGCGACGTCATAACGGCTCATAAGGTCAGCCTGTCCAACATGTACTCAATGTGGAGCAAACTGAACGACTCGAACATATCTTGTGTCGCCCATACCGCTGATAAGAAACCTGTCGCTCTGACCAGGAATGGAAGGAACGTCGGATACTACGTTGTCAGGCGGCGAAACGTCAACAGGTGCATTTAGGCTCGGAATCATCAGCTCTTTATTTAACAAAGGGAAACGGTAATCTTCCTCTACGAATCTCTGACTTTGGAACTCCGACCAACGTCCAGTTATCATCGGAAAAGTGTTCCACGTGCATTGCGCAAACGCGTGGCAACGGAAACGCAGGGGTAGTTGATAAGGTACTCGTAAGGTCAGTTTTAAGGATGGTTCAATACGCGCTTGGTAGACCGAAAAGCAATAAGACGACGAGAAACTCGCAGGACGAGCTTTGGTCGTCTCCAACGATTTTCACACGTTTTGCCCTGAAACGTGCGGCGCACGCGCGTTTGTCAAAACATTGTCAAAATGTTGGTCAGCTTCCGGCTGACCTGGGGATGCCGGAGCCCGATGCCGATTCCTTTGGAAACGGCCAAGTAACTTCGAAATCGATAACGATCTACGACCATGACGGACGGAAAACAGAAAACACGGACTCTTAAGGAATATCCAACTTTGTTTTTTTTGTTCTTGTTTTTGCGATAAGGCGACGTTATAGCCATACAAATTGCTTGGAGAGGATTCACAATGAAATTTATAGAGGAGAAAATTCTCATCGCGTGTTAATTAATGTATCGTATATTTAATTATTTTTTACATTTTTTCTCTTCTAAGTCGGTTGTCGAATTTAGTAGGCCGTCCTTTTAACGAAACGTCGGCAGCTACGAGTCGTAATACTTGTTCGGGCCGGGGCAGCAATATGGCGAAATCGTAAAACGATGCATAGATAAAAAGGATGTAAAAGCCGAGAAAATGGTTTTCGGCGGGGAAGGGTGATTTAAAGATCTGCGTATTATTACTAAAGTATTCTCTCCGGGGTGTAAGAATCTCCTGCGATCGTTGAGAGAGACGGATAGTCTATGGAGACACTTATCGGTATTCTTTTTCTCTACCGATCGTCGTCGAAGGGTATTGTTAATATTATCGATAACCTCAGCCTTTACAAGATGGTTCCATGCTGTAGGGAATAGGTCAGGGTCTCGGGCCGAAATAATCTCTTCGATCGAACGTCTTAACATTTCTTCGAATCTCAGAATTATGCCTTTGACCGTTAAGGTAATTTCCCGTTTTTCTTGCGATTTCAATTGAATACATTTTGTTCAAGTTAGTAGGGATATTTCAGTTCAATCAAGGCTATAAGTCTGCATAAATGTGAATATTGGACATTTTTGTTATCGTGCATATATATTTGGGAAACTGTATTAACATGTACGTATTGCACGATATTGTACATATCGTACATGTTATGTACACATTTTTATGCAACGTATATATAGATATATAGATATACATCACGTACACATGTATGCAGTGGTAAGCGGATAATTGTACAATGCCGGATGAATTGCATTCAGTTCCTTAGATCTGAGCAATATTTAACGGCCAAAGGTGTGATCTTTTAGTGAGTTTAAGTGTGTCATCGCGAATACTTTAAGGTGAAGTGAAACCTCCTTCAAATCAGTCGATTCGAATACAACACTTTTTTTTAAGGATATTGCACCAAACTGTCCGAAACTTTGAAACGTGACGCGTGATCATCTAAGAATTGTCCTGACACATTCAAAATTTGGATTTTTCAAAATAATTCTTTAAAATGTTCTAAAAAATGGCGTCGAACTCTCGTATTTTGATCGATATCTAATTATTGAAGGCTCTATGAGATACAAAAGAGTCAGGACAATTTTACGACAATTTAGAACACTCTGGTAATCTATAAATTCTCATTTGAACTAGATAAAGGCAAAAAATGTGTTTTACGCGCTTCTATGCTAAAACGATGGTAATATGAGGCAAATAATTCAGAAGTCCCATAGAAGCCCAGATCCTATGTTAGCGCTTGATGTTCTAAAAGTTGGCTAACAAACCAGAAATGGGCGTAAAAGAGAGATCGAATGTGTTAGCCAACGATATCTCACATACGGGAGGAAGAGAGACGCATATAGAAAGGCGAGTATTGGGTGTAAGATAGAGAAGGAATACAATTCGCTATATATCGCCATAATATGAAGAGAGATGGAGAGATGCTTACAGCGCCGCCATCCGTTGGCTAACATACTATTTATCGAGAATCGAACGTCCGTATCCTTCTGGGCTTCTATGGAGACTTCTGAATTCTCTGTATGAGGTCTCGGTGTGGAAATTTAATTGACTTGGAAATCACAGATGGCGCAGAGGGTCCCTCTGCAGTCAATTAGGGCCCTAGAAAGCATGAATCCAGAGGATTTCTGGAGTTTCACTTCGATTTCTTTATAATTATTGTACGAAAACCACAGGTGGAGTATGCCATTTGGTACAATACCCAATATAATTCGACACAGCTATTAATATAAAAACGAACGTCGGCAATATAGGTATTTAGAAAAATCTTTATCGACGTCGATATCAAGTTCCTCGACGTGTTTCACTTCGCCTTAAGATGCGGCGTAAGGAAACTGATTCGGATCTTCGGGCTTTCAGCGTAAGACTTAAGTTACCGAAGCATTTTCGCGGAAAATGGCTGCGAACGTTTCTCCCGGGGGATAATGCGAATCCATGTTTTTTACCGTGCGATGAGTAGCGTAGCCTGTAAGGTTCATCGTCAATTAAATACCTTCTTTGAGCGTCAATTCATAATTTGAGACTCGCTAACAAGAGGAAGACAGTCGAATCAATTCGGTGGGATTTGTCGAAACGCCGTTGCTAGTTTTGACTACAGTTTAATCGTAAGATTTAAGGAAAATGCCGTTCCGATTAATCTCTTAAGTTATCGTCAAACGCGGTATATACTCTGGACGTGTCGCTTAGTTGATAACGAAAAAAGTGTCTGCATAATCAAGCTCAATTGAGTATTAATACATTCGCGACCGGCAAATTTTTTCCGTTTCAAATACTGAGTACCGGCGAAAATAATGAAATTCTGAAACTGGTTGCCGCAAACTTGTATCGTGTATCGTTATGGACGTGATTCACGTCAGCGGCAATCAGGAATAGAATTTGAAATGACGTGAATTCACGTCAGCGGCAACCAGGAATAGAATTTGAAATGACGTGAATTCACGTCAGCGGCAACCAGTAATAGAACTTCAAAAGACGTGAATTCACGTCAGCGGTCGCGAATGTGTTAAGGATCGCCAGGCGTGCGACTGTCTCGTAAGAGTGTTCCTTTTTAGGTAGAATTCCGTTCTCTCTCGCCAAAGGGGAAAACTAGAGATCGATTAACAGTTAATCATTATCGGTTGTAGTTAATTGTAGGATCGATTGTAGCCGCCGCTGTTTTGTACACGACTTGTAATGTCACGTGAACGGTGACGTGTACACGGTAATGGTTAACATTTTAATTCGGCACATTTCCGGCATTCCCTGTGAAGAGGAAAATCTTTATATGTAAACGTTTTAAAAGGGCAGTTACGTTCGTCCCTCTTCGGTAGCTCGATTATATTTTATGTCGTGTCTTGTCCTATTTTTTTTTCTAAGGCAGCTTTGCCACGTGTTAAAAGATCTAAACGCGCGAGAAAACTTTTAAGACGTTCCGTGCCAAGCCGGTTTTATATCATTTGTTTTGCGTAGATCGCCGATACAGATATTGCGACATACTCACAATTGTATACCGACATGATATCCGGAAGTATTTAAGGTGAAGTGAAACCCCCCTCAAATCAGTCGATTCGAATACAACACTTTTTTTTAAGGGTATTGGACCAAACTGTTCGAAACTTTGACATATGACTCGTGATCATCTAAGAATTGTCCTGATACATTCAAAATTGTGATTTTTCAAAATAATTTCTTAACTTAACCCAGACTAAAACCAAAATGGCGTCGAGCTCTCATATTTCGATCAATATACAATTATCGAAGACTCTGATATGAGATACGAAAGGGTCAGGACGATTTTACGACAATTTAAAACACTCTGGTAATCGAGAAACTTGCATTTGAACGGGATAAAGGCAAGAAAAGTGTTTTATGCGCTTCTAAGCTAAAATGATGGCAATACGAGGTCTCGGAGTGAAAAGTTAGTTGACCTGCAAATCACAAATGGCGCAGGGGGTCTCCCTGCAGTCACTTAGGGCCCCAGAAAGCATGAATCCAGGGGATTTCTGAAGTTTTACTTCGATTTCATTATAATTATTGTACGAAAACGACAGGTGGAGTATGCCATTTGGTACAATACCCAATATAATTCGACCCAGCTGTCAATATAAAAACGAACGTCGGCAACGTAGGGGTTTAGAAAAATCTTTATCGACGTCGATATCAAGTTCCTAGATGTGTTTCACTTCACCTTAATGATTGTCATTCTCATTGTGAGCAGATTAACGAATGGCCCGAATGGACGTTCCACCGGTGACCCACGTGGCACGGATTTTGTTAATTGTCAAAATCAAATGCAGCAGACGAAATAGCCGATTCGAAGGAGAGGACTAATTACAATATTGTTCGGTTGGCATGTAATCGACGCCGTCAGGCCATTGTCGTGATCTGAAGGCGTAATTTAATGCAATTTCTTAAGGCCACCGTCGAGCGAATCTCTCACCAGAGATGTGAATATTTTTTTAGTCGTCACTTTAACGAGCGCACCTTCAGTGTTTGTCATTCAAGTCCCAGGGGTGCCATTATATTTTTATAAGGAGCCAGGGGGGTTTTCGAGGAAGGTCGTTCGCTATCATTCCAATATAGGGAAGTGTATAAAGATTATTGTATGCATCGACGTAGAGGAAAGATTCCGCGGCGTTTTCTATCCGGTCGGATACATATTCGCGTGCCACCCTGTAATTCCTCTTACCTGTAATCACGTTTACCGATCATGTATAAGTAACCGTAAGGCAGCCGAAACTACTTTATACCGTTCGTACCGGCCAAAACTTTCGAACAGCCAGTAAATGACGATAATAGAGACGGGAAGTGAAAGCCTAAGGGATAGGATTTGTGTAAATAGAAATGCCGCTTAAGGCCGACGACGTTTTAAGCAGATCTTAGTTTCTATTAACACATTCGCGACCGCTGACGTGAATTCACGTCTTCTCAAGTTCTATCCCTGGTTGCCGCTGACGTGAATTCACGTCATTTTAAATTCTATTCCTGATTGCCGCTGACGTGAATTCACGTCATTTTAAATTTTATTCCTGATTGCCGCTGACGTGAATTCACGTCATTTTAAATTCTATTCCTGATTGCCGCTGACGTGAATCACGTCCGTAACGATACACGATACTAGTTTGCGGCAACCAGTTTCAGAGTTTCATTATTTTCGTAGGTACTCAATATTTGAAACGGAAAAAATTTCAAAAGTCGTGAATGTGTTAATTAGATGATTGGAATCAATTGGCCTGCAATTTGCAAAATTTCCCCGTAGCGGATTAACTTGCAGACAAATAGTCACGGGTTTGCTCGTCATTTGAGACTTTTGGCCGATTATATGTGCCCATAATTATGAAAGTGGTCTAAGTCAAAATTAAAAAAAAAAAATGAGTTTATCAGTTATTTCACGCCATATTATTTCAAACGAAATTAATTCAATGTAATTTCGAAACAAAAAATATATGACTTAGACCATTTTCATAATTATGGGCACATATATGGTATCGGGTTGTTCCAAAAGTTGTATCGTTTTTTGGCTAACTTTTTTGCCGTTTAATTGGCTTCACTTACATCACTGACCGACTGACTTACCGATTATCGATGTTACATTATCGATTAACATCCAGTCCTCCGCTTGGGACGTTACTTCAAAGTACACCTAGAAAAATGACGGAACTTTTGGAATGATCTATTAGGTCGTATCCTAACAATTGTACATATTTTATTATTTTAATTCCCGATCTCGATTTCTTTCGATCGGTTGAACGAACAAAATTAAATGGCCCGCTCCTGCGAAATTAGGGAGTGATAATAGAGTGAACGGAAGGCCAGGGGTTTACCTGTTATTCGACACTTTTGGCCGATTATATAAAAAATAGTGGATCGTGTCCTATTAATTGTATATATATATACATATAATTTAGCGCGACGTGTATATGATATACAGGATGCAGCCTAGCTGGTAACATGTAATATCGTCGAAATATGTGAGATACATCACAGGCGTTAGATAGGAACAAATTTTTTCTCATAACGTCAAGCGCGTTTTTTAGGATTACATGCGAGTCTTATTTAAGCCCGATGATAATTCAATTCGCCGATGATTGATCGCCGGCAACGTGGTTGAGAATATTCCGAAGCGCGCGTTAATATCTGCATCGTAGAGGGAAACAATCTTAAGGTGATATGAAAACGGCTGAGAAATTTAATCGACGTCGATAAAACATTATTCGTCTATACCCTTTTTGGTGGTAATGTCGTTTTGAATACTAAAGTAGTAACATCAATTGACGCGTCCCGTTACCGACATTTATATTTACGTTGAAGTATTTTACAGTTTACGTTGATAATTATACGAACTGAAGCGTTCCATGTGTTATTTCGGTAAATTAATGATAAAGAGATCGGCGTAAAACTGTTGAAATTCCATGAATTCATTATTCTAACGACTGTTTAGGACCAACTACGCCATCTGTGACGGTTAGCTGCAACTAAATTTTTGCTTCAGAAACACGCGTTGGCCCCGAGACAAGCCGGCATTCTCTTGCAATCTTTGGTGAAAGTATTTCCCACATTTTCCAATCTGACTGTGTAATATTCCATTACTGCAGTGTTATAAATTGTCCGAGCTAGGTCCTGAAACTCTTCACTTTCGATTCTAAGCCTCCAAGAAGCGTAAAACATCGAAAACATGCCTGGACCACGCCATGTTGGTTTTAAATCCATGATAAATAAATAAATTTTTGATGAAACATGAAATTTCAGGAATTTTAGGACCTACTTTGGGGCCTCCATATTCCCGTGGTAGAATTTGAAACGAATCGGTATCCCCAATTCGGGGACCTCTTAGATACATACAGGCTGACTCTTTTATATCACCTTAAAGAGCTGAATATGGATTTATTACCCCTTACATCTACGATACGGATATGCATTAGTGACAATTTATGCGATCACGCGCACGATCACGCGCTAACCGATCACTCAACAGTTGTCTCCTCTGAATGCACCCAATATTGTCGTGGCGACAAACAGCAACCAATGAGCGAAACGAATTTCTCCCCTCTACTGTTTCAGTCAAAAAGAATCGGTTTCCCGATTCTGAGGGTAAAGAATCGATTCTCAAGAAAATTGAATAGTAAAGAATCGATTCTAAAAATCTAATCGGAATCGAACATCCCTATGGTGAAGGCCGTTAGTTCGAAGTCGCTTTTTACACCGTCAATGGACTCGTTACAAATTGGCCTCGCGAACGATGGCCGAAACTCTGGGTTGAGTGAAATGTTTGTCTCGGAAAAATTTGTATGCATCGTATCAACGAAACTAATCGGTAAGGTGAATTTAACGAGGCGCTTTCTTCCCCTAGACAGGATAGAAGATTCTCGAGAATGTTCTTGCCCCGATTTTAAGAATCTCCGAGGGATGTCTCGAGGTAGATCTGAAAGCGCGAAAGAGGCAGGCGTAATTTAATTAGTTGGTACGGCAGTCCGTCAGACTTTAGTATTATTAATAAAAAGACTCCACGAGGAACCCTAGTGGCCTTAGAAAGTCTACTTTTACTCGGTAATTATGTATCATGGCGTCGCTACAAAATTGTATTTCTATTAAAATACATCCCATGGCTAGTCGTCTTCTGGATCGACCGTTAAGATGAAGTGAAACCCCTCTCAAATCAGTCGATTCAAATAAGACACTTTTCTTTTAAGGCTATTGGATATGATGATATAAATATTGGAGATAAATGTCCGAAACGTAGACACATGACTCCTGAGCATCTAGGAATTATCCTGACACTTTAAGAATTTGGATTTTCGAAAAGAAATTTGTTAACTTAGCTCTGGCCGGAACAAAAATGGCGTCGAGCTCTCATATTTCGATCGATATCCAATTATTGAAGGCTGTAATATGGGAAACGAAAGGGTAAGGACAATTGTACGACCATTTAGAACACTCTGGTAATCGAGAAATTCGCATTTGAACGGGATAAAGGCGAGAAAAGTGTCTTTTGGGCTGCTATGCTAAAACGATGGGAATATGAGGCCTCGGAGTAAAAATTTAGTTGACATGAAAATCACAGATGGCGCAGGGGGTCCCTCTGCAGTCAATTAAGATCTCAGAAAGCCTTGAATCCAGGGGATTTCTGGAGTTTTCTTTCGATTTCTTTATAATTATTGTACAAAAACCACAGATAGAGTATGCCATTTAGTACAATACTCAATATAATTCGGCTCAACTGTCAATATAAAAACAAACGTCGGCAACGTAGGTATTTAGAAAAGTCTTCTTTACCAATGTCGATCAAGTTCCTCGACGTGTTTCACTTCACCTTAAAGGGGCTCGTACCTATTGACAGTGTTAAAACAACCTGTTTTTCAAATAGGTACAGAAAAGAAAGATTAAACATTTAAATACAGCTTAAGGTTGTTATTAACCATGCTTTCGGGAACATGTTGATACAATTATTTATCATTTTACAAAAGAAAAATGTTATGGTATATTGCAAAAAACCGTACTTTAGTGCACATCCTCGTTTGTTGTCAATTTTCAGACAGACCGATCACTCCAGAGTATTCCGCCTTCGGAAGAAAGATCACGATGAGTTGCTGCTCGAAAATGACCATTTTTATTAATTTCAAGTACAATTCAATCATTTCATCAAAGTACGGAAAAATTGTCAGAGGAATATTAAAATAGACAACTGACATCTGGAGTAATATTGCTGCTAGATTGTTGTCGATGAGTATCTCCATAGCCACATATTCATTCAACATGTGTGCAAAATAGGGACAGAGCATGAAAAAAAGTATTAATTGGAAAAGGGGTTTAAAGTTGAAACACAGTTTATGTACAACGATTTAAATGTTGTCTCGTTTTTTTTTTTGTACCCATCAGAAAAATGGATATTTTCACCCTGCCATTAAGGTGATACGAAAGGGTCATTCTATGTATATATAAAACGTCAAAATAATTATGAAATTTTTCTCCAAACTGGGGGCACCGAATAATATCAAACTGTAACGCGTGATTATAGAGACCCTAAGGAAGAACGCGATGCTCGTGAAATTTCATTTTTCACCAAAAAGTGTGATTTTCGTTCTGGTCTAGGCTAAAGTTTTTTTTTTTTTTTNTTAATAGGTACAAGTCGAAATGAAAGAGCATTAATTGTAGCGCAATTGAACGCGCGGATCCTTAAGGTGATATGAAAGTATCATATATACATAACAAAAATTCAGAAATATTAATAAAACTTTTCGCCAAATTGGGTACACCATGAATCATTTCAAACTTCATTCCGAGATTATGGAGGCTCTAAGAAAGAACGCGATACTCATGATATTTTTAATTTTTCACAAAAAAATTGTGATTTTGGTTCTGGTCTAGGCTAAATAAAGGTATTTCTTTTTTTGAAAAATTAAATTTCACGAACATCGCGTTCTTCCTTAGGGCCTCCATAATCACGTGTTAACGTTTCAAATGATTCCGTGCACCCAGAAAAATGTCATAAATACTTTCACGTCTTGATATGTATAGAATGACTATTTCATATGACCTTAATCAAGGTCAAGGCAGTTAGGATGAGTGCTCATTAATGCAAATGGTGGAAGGGCGATTGTTATTGAATTTGGTGCTATATTTATGGCGAACAGGATGGGCGGCTCGGATTATATCATATTAGGACACTGTCATTCGATGAATGTATCGGCGCGGCGTAAACGCGCTTATTATGAACCGCATAAAGACGTGAAATTTTTGCTACTTGTGTCAAGAATCTCGGCGTGAAAATTTATGTATATGTACATATATATATATATTTATTTATTTTTAACCATCCTAAGAGACATGCGCTAAACGCCCATGGAGTTGTGTATGTATTTGGTCGAGTATGTACTCTTGTACCATACGAATAAATCGATTGGAATACTTGTACTTAAATTAATAAAAAAAGAAGAGGTGTCTATGAAGACAACGAGGCAGCACGATAGGCTCATTTTGTATAAGGTTCCTTCTTTATTTGCCGTTTATACAGTAGAAAATAAAGCATTAGTTGTTATTTCAATCCTTGCGAAACAAGGTCTAGCAGTTTCTAACGCAATGTGTTTCATATTATGAGGGCTTTTTATGTACAATATAGCTTTTGGGGGACATTCGTTTGATCAGTCGATTGGTCTGCCTGGACCAATTACAAAGTGTATACCTAAAGATGCATTAATACATAGGCTACAGTTCATTAATAGTTTAGAACCATGATGACCCTAAAACGTAATAAAGTTTTGGGTCAGTACATTTTATTAACGAAAAAAATATATATATATATTTACTAAATGGAAAAAAAATTATGAAAGAAAAGAAAAAAAAAGTTCTTTCTGGAATCCACGATTTTGGTTATCTCAATTAATTAACGCATTATTAATTGGCTAGAGAAAATCGATTGTAGAAGTGCGATAACAAAATTTATAAACCACGTATTCTGATTAAATGCTGGGCCTAGCTTATTTGCTATAGTTTATCAGGTATTGCAATATAACTGCCACTTTACGCTTTCATTAATAGAAAACATCAATAAGGAATATCGAAATAAACTGGTTCATCCTTATCGGTATTATTATAACAAGCTAGGCAAACCGTTCTTATTAATACGCCTTATACGATATATAATCTAGAGCTTACCCGCAGTGTTAGCGTTCCCATGCACTTGCAACAGTAATGTCCGGAGTGCACGTTCAAAAACATACGGCAACAAAATATTACCCGTCTATCTTTTTCTCGGTCAAGCTCCCCTTATTCTTCTGTTTCTTCTTCTTACAAGATCCTCTCCGTTTTTTGCACTTCTTTTTCGACTCGGTCACATTTTCAGTGAGATTCACCGCCATCAAGTTTTTCATCAGATGGCCTATACTAGACTTTGTCATAACTTCGTTGCTGGGTTTGAAATAGAAAGCCTTGAATTTATTGGCCAAATTGTCTATAACAGGTTTTGTTACTTGTCTCAATGACTTTGAATTTTTTTTCTTATTTTTCTTATTTTTAGCCTTTCGCTTTGTAGACCAATCTTCCTTATCTAAAGCTCCTTCTTTATTGCTCTTTGCATTCACTGATAGTTCATTTGATATGTTAACACAATTTAACATCTTGGCCAAAGTGTCGTCATTTCCTTTCCTCCTTTTCGCATGTTTCAATTTCTTTTTCACTGGTGCGTCTTGAATCAAGGTTGGGGTGTTTTCAGGTTTATCTGTACCTACATCTGCATCCTGATGCTTCTTCTTTGCATGCCTTTTCCTCTTTCTTCGGGTCATAACTTGAAAGTCATCTTGCGTGTCATTTTCGAGGTCACCGTTCAAAACATCTTCCGAAACGGACGACCAACTAAAAGGAACACGTTTTTTCTTCTTTTGCAATTCATTAAATTCATTTAGTAGCTGTTTTCCCTCAGCTGATTTATCATCGTCAGCATTTTCAGTTTTCTTATCAGCTTTACTTTGCTTTCTATCAATTTTTTCTAATTTCTTATAGGTAAATTCGGTAGTATAAGGTGATGGCTCTTCAGATCCCTCCTCAATTTTGCATGTAGCGATCAATCGATTTGATAAGTCATTTATAGATTTCCTCTGCTTTTTTATTGCATTTTTTGATGGCTTGATATTAACGTGTCGTATCATGGGCAATGCAGGTGATATTGCATTGGCATTATCATCCGTTTCAAGAGAGTCTGGAATGTCATTCTGGTTCGAAAGTCCATTTGTAAGACTTACTCGACCAGACGTGTCTTGATAAGACACTTGCTTCGACGTATTAGGCATCATACTGTCCAATAATTCCTTGTCCTGCAGCGCTATTCTTCTTAGCTTCCCTTTCATCGTTAACTGGAACCTGGCTCCTTTATGTGCAGTCCTGCCGCCACATATTTTAAAAAGTTTCTCGTCTGTAAGATTTGAAAATGGTGTTTTATTTTCAATTTCCTCATTCGTGGCTTCACCAGACGCACTTTCTGGAAAGAGACGACCATCTTGTAATACGGAGGCTCTCAAAAAACTAGCATATTTCCCATCCTTTTTGCCACTCGTTAATCCTGGCTTGCTCATAATATCAACTGAAGTATCTTTGACCGATGCGACGGAAATTCCATCGACGTTGCTATTTACCGAGACGTTATTCAGTGCCTTATTGTACATGGATTCCCACCAGTTGCAAGAAAACTCTTTACCCGGATCATGACCCATGCCCGTGGTATCAAATTTCAATCTCGGCTTCAATGCTTGCGTGATGCCATTTTCATTTTTACCAAGTCCCTGGCCTGTACAAATTAAAGAAATAACATATAAATGTCATTGACCAAACGAAGGAAATAATACAAGAGTCGAGGTTTCATTTACGACACACAATAGCTACTTATAATAATTATTTTCATTGAATCAATACGAACGTTAAAGAAAAATTGATTTTTTTTTAATACCTGGGTGCTTCCCTATTTATCGAAGAATTAAAGATTCATAGGACAGGAACTTAAACTAAATGTAAAGCAACAGAACACTTTCTTTTTATTGTTAACTCCCAGACATTAATTTTTACACATAATTGTTCATCAACGTTTCAGTCTCCATAACGGGTCGATTGGTCAACGTTCTAACACAAGCGAACTGAACCTGCACATAATATATAAAAGCCGGTATCACTGTAAATTAACCACTGTCATCGATGTCACTAACATGAAATGCGCGTACAAGTTTTTACGCGCAATTACAGTTAATGTCACATAAAAACCCGCAGATTCATCGTAGTCAACTTCGTCAGATACAACGATGCACTCGTGCAGCTAATATCATTAAATATAACAATTTTTACTTATGAATGGCATTCCCATAATTCCGATAGTCTAGCGCACGATGAAATATGAAATGTGAAATTCAGCTCAGAATGTTCTTTTTATTCTTTCTTGGGAAAACTCACAAAAAAAGATAACCACGTAACAAAAGATTGAGGTTAGGCGTGGCGCATCTTCGAGAGGGGCGAACTACCGCTCTGAAAAGCCCGGAGAATCTGACCCCGCCCTTTATCGGAGTTTCCTCCAATTCTTTCACATCGAATTTCTCGATTTCGTACCTTCTTTCCAACCGTACTTAAGAAGCTGGGCTTTCGCAAAATCAGCCATCACGCATCTACGAGGAGATCGAAGGAGATCAAGGATTGCCTACGATTGCCTTCTCATTTCCGTTCGTGGCTTCACCAACCGGAAGCGACGTCAGCGCCACATGACGCGGAGCAGCGTGGAGTCCTTTGAGGAAGTTTACGGGGAAACACGTCGAGAAATTTGATCGACGTTGGTAAAAAAGATTCTTTTATATACCTACGTTACCGACGTTCGTATACGTATTGACAGAGATGAGATGGGAAATTGCTCATGGGCAGGTTCGCGCGATCGCATTCTGTGCTGCCCTCAGTGGAGAATGCAGGCAGCTACTTACCTCCAATGGCGTCCCAACTCAGGGATCCAATTCATCTCTGCTCCCAACCAGATATTTGTTACCGTAACTACAAAATTCGTACAAAAGCAAGCTGCTCATCTCTGTCCCAACTTATCAGCGCTCGATTGTGGAACTTTACCGTATCGCGGCGCATAGGAGAAATAAATTCAGATTTCGTCCCCTATGATGTTTTCAAGGAATTTCCAGAGAGTAGCAGAGGGAATCCTTGTCTTGGATTTTACATCGAGCCGGATACTCTTTGAGATCTCAAGCTGATGACAAGACTGGATAATTTGTTAATATTCATTTAAATGACCTCGAAAATGTATGAACTTGCGTTGCTTGTATAATAAACTGTAAAATAATTAGTGTAATAAAGTAAGTTATTGAATAATAACAATGAGTATGACTAATTAGACAAGCCTATCTAGCGAACCCTGTAATCGTCTATTCCTGATTCTGGAAAATCACTCGTAGATCTAAGTTAATGTTAATTTTCTTGCGGTGTGAGAAAACTTAGAAAATTTGCGATAAGACGAGGGAAGGTGTTTCCGTGCCACCTCCTCGGTTGTTCTATGTTCCTGTTAGAAGTCGCAAATTTCAACCAGTAAAATTTTTGAACGAGAGAAACTCCGTGCCACCTCCTCGGTTGTTCTGTTATCCTGTTAGAAATCGGTAATTCCAACCCCTCCAATTTTTGCCAGGGGATCTTCCGTGCTACCTCCTCGGTTATTCAATGTTCCTGTTAGAAGTCGCAAATTTCAACTACTAAAATTTTAGAACGGATGAAACTCCGTGCCACCTCCTCGGTTGTTCTGTGATCCTGTTAGAAATCGGTAATTCCAACCCCTCAAATTTTTGCCAGGGGATCTTCCGTACCACCTCCTCGGTTATTCAATGATCCTGTTAGAAGTCGCAAATTTCAACTACTAAAATTTTATAACGGAAGAAACTCCGTGCCACCTCCTCGGTTGTTCTGTGATCCTGTTAGAAATCGGTAATTCCAACCCCTCAAATTTTTGCCAGGGGATCTTCCGTACCACCTCCTCGGTTATTCAATGATCCTGTTAGAAGTCGCAAATTTCAACTACTAAAATTTTATAACGGAAGAAACTCCGTGCCACCTTCTCGGTTGTTCTGTGATCCTGTTAGAAATCAATAATTCCAACCCCTCCAATTTTTGCCCGGGAAAGTTTCGTGCTACCTCCTCGGTTATTCTATGTTCCTGTTAGAAGTCACAAATTTCAACCACTAAAATTTTAGAACGGAAGAAACTCCGTGCCACCTCCTCGGTTGTTCTGTGATCCTGTTAGAAATCGGTAATTCCAACCCCTCCAATTTTTGCCCGGGAAAGTTTCGTGCTACCTCCTCGGTTATTCTATGTTCCTGTTAGAAATCGGAAATTTTAGGGGGTTAAATTTTCGACTTCTAACAGGAACACAGAATAACCGAGGAGGTGGCACGGAGTTTCTCCGTTCACAAATTTTAGGGGTTGACATTTCCTACCTCTAAAAATGTGTCTAATTCGAGTCAACTGATTTGTGGGACTTTTCATTTCACTTTAACAGGGCTACATATTCTCTGTGAGGGTTTCTCAAAATGATCCCATCGTTTGCAAGAACACAAGAACCAGGAAAGGTAGAAAAGCGGTCTCGTTTGCGCTCACCGTCGAGCTGGATGCAAAGTGGCATTTTTCCTCCCCGAGAAGCCATAAATACGTCGATTTGTTTTTCAACTTTTCTGATTAGTGCCTGTGACTGGAACCGAGCAAGGCTCCAGTGAAACCTTTACCGCCGAGTGCGAATATTTCGAGAATAATACCAGCTTAACGAGAAACTCCGAGAAAAGTTTCGCGATTACGAGCAAACGAATTCTTGAGATGTGGCAGTTGTTTATTCTTGCAATTCATCTTTTCCTTACTAATTCCGGAGCCGGCGGTAATTTTCCAAGTAAATATTAACATTACTGGATATATTGGCAAAATCCGCAATCACTTAGATTGCGTATTTTTTAATACCCTCTATCAACAAAATACGCAATCATTTAGTTGCCAACCCAATAGACCGAGACATGCAATTTCCAAAAAGGAAGACTTGTTTTGTCAATTTTTGAAACTTATAAATCGACTGCGTTTTGTTAAATGGAAGAGACAAAAATAATGTTTCAAGGGGGCGTTGGTTCTTTATTATTATGAATATTTGTGATTCTCTTTATAAGTTAAATAGAGAATACTCTCTTTAAATTAAATGTGATATTTTTTATCAGGTCGGTTTTTATGCAATTTCCAAAAAGGAAGACTCGTTTTGTCAATTTTCAACACTTATAACTCGACCGTCTTCTGTTTAATGGAAGAAGAAAAATAATGTTTCAAGGGGACGTTGCTTATTTATTTTTATTAATACTTGTGATGCTCTTTTTAAATTGAATAGAGGATACTCTCTTTAAATTAAATCTGATATTTTTTTTTATCTGGTCGGTTTTTAGTTCCTACGGGTGGATACTCCGTCGCCGAATCTTTCGTTTTGGACGATACAGCATATATTTTATGTGGATATCGCGTCACCTGGGACGAAGCACAGGTGATTTGTCTGAGTTACAAAGCACAGCTTGTGACAATAGACACCGAGCAAAAAGCGGATTTCCTGATTCGCACTATCGTCGACAGCAGTTTAGGTAAGTCTACAAATATTTCTTCTTTCTCGCAGAATTTATATTCAGTATGTTAAGCGATTAGGTAAGTCTAAGAATATTAAAGAAATATTTACAAGAATATTTAAAAAAAATTATATTGAAAAAGAATAAAAGCAGTTTATGTAAGTCTAAGAATATTTCATTTGATGAAAATAAATTGCGCATTGCAAAATTGTTCTTTCAGAGCCCGAGGACTTTTGGATAGGAGCCCAAGCCGACGAAAACGGAATTTGGTATTGGGTCTCTAATAAGAAAATTTTGAGTTTGGAAAAGGATTTATACGGAAGGTATTCCCCGTGGTATCCGAATTCGTCAACAACTGAGGCTCAATGTCTAACAATTGACCGGAACAATCACGCCTTGCCGATTTTTGTGCCCCTTAATTGCACTCAGCAGAGGCAATTCATCTGCGAAAAGGGTAGGCAAAAAGTGTCGTCTTATAAATGTCATAAATGTTAAATATAATCGGCCCAGATAGAAATTTATGATCATCAAAAAGCTATGCAAAATGTTACGTGTTACAAATGTCATCAATGTTAAATTTAAACGATCCAGATAGAAATTTATGATCACCATATGATGAGGAAAATCGATTTACAAACAACTTGCAGACCATTTGCTGCATGAAATGTCTGCAATATATGTACGCATATTATACAATAAATTTGAACAAAAATTTGCCACTTAAAAAATTAATTTGTCACTTCATGGCTCGAATATGAGCTAAAAACGCTGTAATTGTTTATCGACAATGCGTGAGATTAATTTAACTATACATATGCGTACGAACATTGAGACATTGCATGTACTTAACTTTGTTTTATATTTAAGTATTTTTTGGTTCGGCATTGTGTCTTATAGATATGAGTTCTAAATGAGGACTCACAAGCGTCATTCTCATGACTCGTTTCATGAATAGTTACATCCCTAGTAACACAAAATATTTGTCCTATATTTTCCATATATTTAACGAATATCGTACATTTTGTAAATATTTAGCAGACATTTNAAATCTACAAGAAATCTTAAAAAATCTGTCGCTTGTAATATTTAGCAAAGATTACAAAGAAATATTTAGAAATTATTCTATGCTACTAAGGATACCACTGAAATGGCAAGATGTATAACGAAAATTATTGAAAACATACATTGATATCATATAAAATCGAATTACTACCGTTCCGTAACATTGTTACAAATCTGGCAGTATTACTGTTATATATTATTGATATAACATAATGCGGTACCTATTTGTTACACTACTTGTTTTATAACATTGTTTCATAGCTGTATAGGAAATAATAATTTAAATTTTTACGTCCATGTAACATATTTGTTGCTTTATATATTACAGGGACATATGTAACGGTTATATTATTGTTAAGAAACTGTGTTTGGTGGGTAACAGTAAAATCTGTGCAAAATATTTCTTAACAAAATACGTGTTGTTTTTTTTAATCATTAGAGGACAACGGAGCCTTCGGAAAAAAAATACACCTGATAGCAGACACCAGAGTAGACGATAAGGAATTCGTCTTATATTCGGCTCGTGTCACTTGGGAGGAAGCTGTGCTTCAATGTCGAAAGGAAAAACTGCAAATAGCCGAAATCAAAACCGAAAATGAGGCGCAAGCTCTGGCCACAATTATGCTAAGAGCTCGACCCGGTAATATTCCAAAACACTACTAGTGAAAAAGTCGAAACGCCTAAAAATAAAAATCGTAAAAGTCAAAGACCAATATATTGTTTAGCAAAATGCGGAAAGACAGCCCAGGTAGAAATTCATGATCATATGATGAGGAAAATCGATTTTAAACAATTTGCAGAATTGGATGGGACTCAAATAGTCCCACCCAATAACAACCACATTTCCTGTTGCACATAAATTTCCTTTCTTATTAAGTTGAACAAAGTTGGTTTATTTTTATTAATATAGGAATAACATAAAATAAAAAAAAAATAATAATTCAATTAAGTTTGTTGTTATAGGGTGGGACTCAAATAGTCCCACCGTGCATATTCACGGATTAAAAAGGTGGGACACTTTTAATACCATCGTGCTTCAAAGAGTTAACCCT